CATATACAAGAACTGAGGTAAAATTTGCCTTCAAAAGCCTTGATTGTCCCCGTGGCTAAGAATACTAAGTCTAAAAGACGGAACATGAGTTTCTTAAAAATGACAAGCTGGGAAGTGTGAGGCCCAGGGACTGAAATTAAGTCATTTTAATTTCTGGGGCAGAACATTTTCTCCATATATTAGTGACTCCCTGTTTGTGATTGGCAGCTTAGGCACTCCTGCCCCAAATGAAAGCTGTGATTTTAGAGGACTTGCACATTTTCCCATGATATCCCTGCTCCTCCCATGGCAAGCAAGTTGTCAGTTACTTTTCATCTTTTTGTCACTGTGTCTTTTTATAGTAGCTCCCATCAACATCCCTTTTAAATCCCTACCACCAATTTGCTGTTGACTTGAAACCCAGTCAATGCATGTTTAAAATAAAAATCTGCTACCTTCAACAGACCATTTAAACATAAAACCTATGAGCTTGCATTTTATAAAACATACAGGAATGCTCTTTGTAATTTTTTTGGACAGAGCATTATTCCATTTCTTTTAGAAATAACAAAATGCAGAAATGTTTTACTGTAAAGAATAAATAAGTCATCCTTAATATCAGTATTCATATAATGACTCAATATTTTGTCATGTTTTCAGCATGTATGTTTTAATATAGCTAAGGTTTATTATCATTTATGCTTACTGTCATTAATGATTATCATTTAAAACACAGGGTTACTTTTCATCTTACTTTTATTGCTTAGCATTTAAATATTTCCCATGCAACATGTAATTTTGAAGTGCGTAACTATTGGTTTCTGTATAAACTTCATGATTTCTATCTGAACTCCGTGCATTGTTTTTATTTATTTATTTATTTTTTTGCTTTTTGGGTCACACCCGGAGATGCTCAAGGGTTACACCTGGCTCATGCACTCAGGAATTACTCCTGGCGGTGCTCGGGGGACCATATGGGATGCTGGGAATCGAACCTGGGTCGACCATGTTAGCTGCGTGCAAGGCAAATGCCCTAACCATTGTGCTATCGCTCCAGCCCCCATGCATTGTTTTTTTTAAAAAAATTTAATTAGATACTATGCTTTACAAAGTGTTTACAATATAGTTTTAGACATACGATTTTCCTTTCTATGTTAAATCCCACCATTTGTGACTTATATGTCCATCATTATTTATTTAGGTGTTTTCTTTTATTTCATATAAAAGAATATTGCTCGAGCGGGCCCAGTAACGTCTCCATTGGAGACTTTGTTGTTACTGTGTTTGGCATATCAAATACTCTCGGTAGCTTGCCAGGCTCTCCGAGAGGGGCGGAGGAATCGAACTCGGGTCGGCCATGTTGGCCGCTTGTAAGGCGAACGCCCTACCTGCTGTGCTATCGCTCCAGCCCCTAAAGGCCCTCCCGTTGATCGTCAATTTGCTCGAGCAGGCCCAGTAACGTCTCCATTGGAGACTTTGTTGTTACTGTGTTTGGCATATCGAATACTCTCGGTAGCTTGCCGGGCTCTCTGAGAGGGGTGGAGGAATCGAACTCGGGTTGGCCATGTTGGCTGCTTGTAAGGCGAACGCCCTACCCGCTGTGCTATCGCTCCAGCCCAAAGGTAAAGGTAAAGGCCCGTCGATTTGCTCGAGCGGGCCCAGTAACGTCTCCATTGGAGACTTTGTTGTTACTGTGTCTGGCATATCGAATATAAGAGATTATATGTATCATATATTATATATAAAAGAATATAATAAGACCTCTTATTTTCTAGTTCTTGCTCTCAGAGAACCCAGCAGGCTACTGAGAGTATCATACCCACATATATGCCCGACTGGGAACACCTGTAAAGATGATTAGGGGCTGCCCCAGAAGCCTCCATCCCTCTCAGAGAGCCCAGCAAGCTACTGAGAGTATCCTGCCCGCTTGGCAGAGCCTGGCAAGCCACCCATGGTGTATTCGATATGCCAAAAACAGCAACAATGATGATCCTCATTCCCCTGACCCTGAAAGAGCCCCTAATATGTCATCGGGCTACACTAGTACATGACAGGGATGAATGGAGACGTTACTGGGTCCACTCAAGCAAATCGATGAACAATGGGGTGATAGTGATAGTGACATATAAAAGAATCACCTCTCTTTGTCATTTTAATTCTGTGAGGTTCATTTTTGTCCAACAAAAATCCAACTTGAATATCTAATTATCAAATCAAGGTCTCACTGCCAATTTTTTCAGTAATTCTGTAAATTTACACTCTCACCAAAATTAAGTAAAGGATGATTATTTTTACACTAACTCTGCTATTTTTTTTCTTTCACTTCAGGTATATAGGTTATATTCTAATTATGGGAAGATGAAATATAGTTTTGCTAAAAATAGTGAGATAATACTATAATTAAGATTGTGAGGATTTTGTTCCTCTGTAAAGATCTTAATTATCCTTAAAATTCAATTTTACTCCATTTTATTCCATTTAAAATAATTAGACATGATGCTATTCATTCACAAAAATGCAAAAGGCCTCGTGCATTGAACTGCCATTATTTGTAGCATTTGGGGGCTGGTATGTAAAGCCATCTGCACTCTTTCTACTTCCCTCTTCAGATCCATCCATAATTCCAAAACAGCTGCCCAATATTAAATTATGATCTGTAAGCATGCCGTAGTGTAAAGTTAATTTGTCCAGATTGTTGCTGAATCTCTTGGAAGAAAAAGGATGATCATAAAGCAATTTTAGAATAGAAAAGGGAAGAGGAAAACCCTTTATGTAAAAAAAAAAAGAAGCAGAACAGCTAAGAGACGTACAAATGTCTCCATCTCTATGTTAGGAAACGCTCTAGTTTCTTCAAGATACTAGAACAAAAGATATGTGACTGGGTAATTTACAAGTAGACACAATGCATTCATTACTATTCAGTAGCCTAAGATCAAGTTAGGCATGGTCAAGTTCTGGTCATACTCCTGGCTGACACAGTGTCTTCACATGACAAGGGAATGAACTCTCTCAGGTCTCCTTATAAAGACTCCCAACACATTTGTGATGATACAACCTTCATGGTCTTGTTGCCTCTTACTACCATCACTTTTTGAGGTAGGACTCCAACCTGTGAAACAGGGTGGGCATAGTCAGTCAGTACACAGAAGGACTGGAACACGGCAATGGAACATAGTTTTAATAAAAATAGCCATAAAATGCTCCATATCTATTAAAGCACTTGGTGTAGCGTTCCTTATATTTGAGACTATGAGAAGAAACTCCAACCTAGAAGCATTCATTGATATGCTATACTTTGCTTCCACAGTGGATGTGGAACACCACACCAGCTTTCAGTTTTACTAAACGCATTCCTATCATCAAATCCTCTGACTCACTTGTACCAAATTCATGGACTAACTCCTGAAGTTGAGATGATAATGTGTCAAAATGGGAAAACATCTATTCTTTCGGTAGCAATATTTGGCAGTTATGACTGAATTTCATCCCATTTATGAATACCCCACATATCCCTCACTTGCAGATAAAATAACTCTTTTCCTTTGGAGCAACTCAATGCCATTGATGTTTTCTATGTCCTACCCACATCCCTCCTTTACACTTCACTTATAAGCTTTTCCTATCTTCTGATGAATTGATATATATATATATATTATGTATATATATATATATATATCTCCAAGTTCTTTGCTTTTACAACTGATTTGATCTGTCAAATACTTGTCATTGGTCCCTTAAGTCCTTAGCAACACTATCATCTAAAAGAATCTTTACACACTTTACAATTTCCATTTTCCATCATATATTATGTTCTCATCTATCTCCACAACTCCTCTAACCCTGACATTACCCAGTGAGATCTTGAACAAAATGGTCACATGGAAGGAAATAATTTTATTCATATATTTCTCTTACTCAGATTGATCTGACTACATTCACTGCTGAGTTTCAGTCTGCCAGGAGTAGGACCACACACCAAAACCATAATATGTCAGCTTTTCCCAAGGTGATCATACAACCACACCGGACTGCTTCCTTCATGGAAAAGACAACATTTGTCCCATCCAGACTATAAAAGTTACTCTGGATAATGGGATGCCTTCCTAATAGGTCATGCTTACTTGATTTCACAGAATGCCCTCTTCTCCATCATGACATTAAACACTTGTTTCTGATCAAGAAAACTTATCTAACAAACAAGTAGGGTAATGGGCTTAAGAAACTCACTAATTTTACCATTTTACTCATTATTTTAAAGAATCTGTGTTAATGGACTAGTGAATGATGTTTACTCAATTACAGAGCTAGCTTGGTGGCTATAGCTATCACAGTAGGGACAGTGTTCTTAATAAATACATGTATGTTCTGTGTCAGGTACAGTTCTCTGACAATGAGCCTCCACATGTACAAGAATCAAGAGATAGGAAACAGTAGTTCCATTTACTCTAAGTGAAATATTTATTTCCGGGTGAGTGTGTGACTTTGTCTCTGAAGAGTAGAATGACAAAAAACTGTTAACTTCAGTAGTGGTGGTGTATCATGTGATCTCAGGAAATCTTAAATGGAAAAAAAATCAGAGGAAAGTCAAATTCACTCTTTCTGGTGAGCTGGTTAGTGGATCATCTCCTTCCGTCAGATATCAACATATCTAGTTCTCATGCTTTTAGAGTCATTTATACCAGAACTTCCTCAATTATGAAGTCTACCGAATTATGAATTGGATTAAATGATATCAGTTACTCACTTTTATGGTTTACCATCTTGCAAATAGTAGATCATGTGAGTCCATAAACATGTGAGTCAATTCCTAAAATAAGTAAGTAACACTGTCCTCCCATTGTTCATCGATTTGCTCAAGTGGGCCCAGTAACGTCTCCATTGTGAGACTTCTTGTTACTGTGTTTGGCATATTGAATACTCTTGGTAGCTTGCCAGGCTCTCCGAGAGGAGCGGAGGAATCGAACCTGGCTCGGCCGGGCTGGCTGCGTGAAAGGCAAACACCCTACCGCTGTGCTATCACTCCAGCCTGGTTTCTCTTCAGATCGTATAAATCTTTCGCCTTTTTACTAAAGATTTCCATGGAGAGGAACAATTCTGAGTCTTAACCCAATTCCTAAAATGTGTCACGTATATTTTGTTCTGTTCTATTCTATTTATTTTATCCTGTCTTATCCCATCCTCTGCTATTTTAGCTTTTCACATTAGTTGTTTTGGAGAATCCTGACTGATACTACCCAGATGAGTAGAGGGTCATTTATATATTATATATTATTAATCCCTTTACTTCATATCCATTGAGCTTTAGCAATAGCACAGCGGGTAGGGTGTTTGCCTTGCATGCTATTGACCAGGGTTTGATTCCTCTGTCCCTCTCGGAAAGCCTGGCAAGCTACCAAGAGTATCTCACCTACACGGCAGATCCTGGCAAGCTACCTGTGGTGTATTCGATATGCCAAAAACAGTAACAAAAAAATCCCACAATGGAGATGTTACTGGTGCCCACTTGAGCAAATCGATGACCAATGAGACAACACTATAGTAATACTACAGTGCTACTTCATATCTATTAACTAGTTATTATACTCGTATACTACACTATAGTTTTACAGTCAAAGCACTGCTGTAGCATACATTAGAAAAATAATGAGACAAGGAGTTTAGCACCTAAACTTAACATATTTGCTTTCTTGAACCAGAGAGATAGAACCAAGGTAAAGGCACTTACCTAACATGCAACTTTCACTACAATAATGATTTAATCCCAGCAGCCTATTTGTTTCTCAGTACCACCAGAGTCAGGAATGGATTCTAAGCACAAACAGGTGTGTCAAAAGCAAGCAAATAAGAAAGCAATTGATTTTTTTCATTATAGTCTATCTTTTTTAACTGTGGACCACAATCCCATATGAGCTCATGTAACTGTGGGCATTATAAAAGTCATGGTTAATAGTAAAAGGTTTCCAAACATGCAGCAACCAGAAAATAATTCAAAATCAAATAATAATGAATTTGAGTTGTTTCTGTCAATGTACATATGTGTTGTATTTCTTAGGATAAAAGAAGTTAAGAGAGAAAAAAATTAAGACACCCTGCTTAAAGGGAACTCCCTCTTTCCCAGAAAGAGACAGCACCAACTTTACGGGTAACAAGACTTTAATTGACACTCTAATTCCTAATCTCATCATTTCTTCATTTCAGAACCACAGTGCCAAATGATTACAGCACTAATGTAACAAAGACACTATCAAAACAAAACAAGCACTTACTGAAGATCCATAAATTTTAATACAATTTATTCTTAATCACATTACTGTTTTGTAGTCTCACGTGTATACTCTGACTATAAAGCGATCATTTCCGTTTCTCTTTTACTTCCTTTGATCTTCTCACTGTCTGGTTTCCTGCCCTTTCACACCTCGTGGGCATCAGGAATCTTTGCATTTCTTAGTTATATAAGCTAACTCATGAAGATATATAATGTAGTTAGGATCCCTGCTACAAAATATCATGGAGCAATGGAAACTATTAAGTCGTGTTTTTCTTAAGCCTTTCTTGAGTCCAGTGGGAAAAAGTGTAGGTAGTTGGTCATGTATAAACATATGGGTACCATAAACTCACACACATCATATACACTTCCCTGAAACCAGAGACTCACATGGGAAGTCTTGATATCACTTCAGTCACTTCTTTTGGTTTCTATTTCAATCATAGTAAGAATTCAGCAGCAACCAACACTCTGACATTCCTTGACAGCCTGCAAACAGATCTCAGCACAGTGATGTAAAAAGAAATGATGTGTGCAAAATAGGACTATTAATGAGCAAATGGTACTTTTGGTGCAGTTTTCTTCAAGCTCAATTTTAAGGGCTGACTAACCAGGAGCTTTTATTTAAAATAAGGAATCAAAGGGAGAGGAGGAAAAAGGTCAATGCCATTTGACAGTCTTTGGTATTTTTCCCTTGACAAATGTGTAGCAGGCTTTCCCTGTGATCCGAGTACTTTCGTTTTGGTTCCCAACCTCATCTCTAAAAATGATTACTGTATTTTGCGATTGGTCCTATACTGACTAATTTTTATACAGCATATTGATTTCTAATTTTGTTGCTGGCAGTTCATTATTCAATTTATAAGACACATCATTCTTTCTGTGAATTGACGCTTTAGAATATCCATCTTAATCCTTTATCTCCTCCTTTCTACCTCAAGACGTTTTCTACTTTTAAGGATTTTCATTTCATTTTTTCATCATCCTGTTAATCGTCGATTGCCTCGAGCAGGCCCCAGTAACGTCTCTTTCATCCTAGCCCTGAGATTATATTCAGGGATCTTTAGGAGAATGAGACCCATCATTGTTACTGGTATTTGGCATATTTGGTAGGCCACGGGGAGTTTGCCAGACTCTGCCCTGTGGGCAGGCTACATTCGACAGCCTGCAAGTTTGTCCAAAGTAGGAATGAGATAATAAGATGTCATTAAAAAGTTCTGATAAGATGTCGCGCGGCCGCGCGGTTCCGGGATCTGGATTTTATAGTCTCTGAGTCTTGGCCGCTGATGAGATTACACGGCGCCAGGGGGCCAGGTGGTGGGTGTGACCCCCGCCTACTGGAATTTGGAGGATCTGGGTGGAAGATGCTCGACTCCAATTCGAGTAGGCTTGGAGGTCTCGGCCCCGGAACCCGCGTGGCTTTGTCCCTCTGCCAGTACCTTCAGGTGTGCGGAGAGTGGTCTCAGCATGGTGGTGGCTGGTCCTGGAGGTCTCCGGCTGCCGTAGCCCTGGCCGGGGCGGGGAGGAAAGCTCAACCCGCTCCCCTCCAAGGGACTCCGGGAAGAAAAAAAAAAAAAAAAGGATTTATATTGTTTAAAATTTATGTTTCTTGGTTGTTTTGTTTTCTCTTAAATAAGTGATTAGCTTTATTAGAAGTCACACACATAGATTGATTTAGGAACTTATTTTTTTTGAGAAAACAGGAAGTTACTTGCTTAATGTTGCACTCACGGTGCAAGGTGTAGCTTTCTAGAACCCCTGAGTCTTTCGGGAATCAAAATCAGAGCCCCATGCTCTACTTAAATGCAGTTTCCTTTTCTAGAACTACATATGGATTCATGTTACCACTGTCACATCCATTTCTCTTGAATGAGAAGTTAAGGAGGAAGAGATTGATGCAAATATAGAAGGCACAGAAATAGAAGCACAGACAGATCTTTAGGATCACTGGCAGCCAGTGTTTGTTGTGGTTAAGCATCTCTACAACTTCCCTACTTTACCTTTAGGCAAAAGTAGGATCTGATTGACAGCTGGCTCTTGCCTCCGAGGAAGGCTTTGCTTTCCTTGGAGCATAGATGTAAGGTAAGGGAGGAGACTGGAGACTTGCATGGTTTCAGGAGTAGTTGCAAACTCTCTGTTCACCTGGAGTCAGCAGAATCCTGTGAACCTTACTTCCACCCTCCCTGTCTTTCGAAGCCATTCTGCACATCACTCCCACACTAATCTTCTAAAGTAGAGCTTTTATCATGTCACTCCACTGCTTAGGAGCCTGGAGTGGATGAGAATAATAGTATTAATGCCTCCCATTAGCATAGAGTCTCTCCATTTACAAAATGCTCTTACATATGTCATCTCATTTCCTCTTAACAATGATCTCCCAGCACTTATTAGATGAAGTCTGAACTCTATAGCCTCAGCACAGTCTTAACACGCTCTTGATAAGGTAGCTGCCTTTCTCTTGCCCACCTTAAGGAAAATGGGAGACTTTGGTTTGCCCTTCACCCACCCAGAGAATGTTTGCATTCACCTTCAAAAATGAATGCCCTGCCACAGAGACGGAGTGGGATGGGGGGGGAATGGAGGGGGGAGGGATACTGGGATCCGTGGTGGTGGGAAATGGGCACTGGTGGAGGGATGGGTATTTGATCATTGTATAATTGAAACCCAAGCACAAAAATGTGTAAGTCTGCAACTGTACTTCATGATGTCTCACTATTAAAAATTTTTTAATAAAAAATAAATAAATAATAAAAAATGATTTTATTCATTTTCCCCTGCCCTCTGTTCCAATATGATTCCATTTGCCTCCTTATGAAATTCAGGAGAAAACTCCAGTTGGGTAGAGGGAATCATGCATTCATTTTTTAAAATCTTTCCAAATTTTATTTTATTGAAGCACCATGAGGTACAGAGTTATTCATAGTTGGGTTTTAGATGTGTAATGTTCCATCATTGATCCATACCCCCAGTGTCAACTTCCCTTCCCAAGTGTTCCCTAGATTAGGAAAGAAGGAAAAGATGATACCAACTACCTAAACGCATGTCTCAAACATCTGAATCATGTGTTCGTGAAACTATGGGCAAGAAAATGACCTCTCTTGTTGGCCTCACTCCACAAGTTTATGTATGTACTTAAAGAGTTCCAACCAACTCCTAGGGGCTAGCCCAGTGTGCAATAGTGAAATTGAGATAGTGAAACAATAGTGAAATTGCATCTGACATGTAAAGTCATGACTTTCTTATCTCCTTCTACACAAACTTGTGTCAGATATTTTGGCTCAGTTTGCTTGCCTATTCAGATTAGCCATCATTAGACACCCCTGGACGCTTCCATCAATCAGATTCTCTCCACAATTCTAAAAAAGGTATTTTCAAGTTCTAACTTTGGAAAATATGGCAGGTCCATTAACTTTAGGGGAAATTCTGAAGAGTCATTTTCTCAATTTATTTTATGTTGGCTTTTTTTTTCCGGCACAGATTTTTCAACTATACACTGCATAATTTGTCCACTTAAACCTGAAAGACTGACAGGGTAGGAGTGAGTAGTGGAGATCTTTTGAATCTCAATAACTTTGGTCATCTTTTGATTTAGTTTTTTGGTGTCTCCAGGGGCTGAATGATAGGTAAAATGATAGCCAAATCAGGTTTTTTCCTCCCCTCTAGTCCATTTGGATTCTAACATGCACTTTTGAGATAATATATTATATTTTTCTCTATTCACATCAATTGTTCAAAGTTATGACAATATATAGCTATGGAACCAAACTTCAAAAGAACTAGATCTTAACTCGACCTTTCTATGTGGAAAAGATTTCTTTCTCTCTCCTTATTTCTTTCATCATTTCTTCATTTTCCTATTTTAATATTTAAC